TTGCTATAGTACAAATCCAGAAATACATTTTTTGGATGAAATATTTCAGACGAGAGATTAAACAACCGCCAGATTTATGTACAAAACAATAAACAAAAACAAATATGATAGACAGCAACAAACGACAACAAACGAAAAACTGCAAAATTCAGCTAAAAAGGGCTATGCTGTTTTATCATTAAAGATGAAAAGCACCTCTAGCTTCTGATTATAAGAGACAAAACCTACATCTATGTCTTTGTGTCTCTCTCTGAGTAGATCCCATCTTCAATTTATATTAATTCTTCAATCTTTTCGTCTGAAATTGATCTTATATATGGTAAAAATTGGAAATGTAAAAGGTTTTGCATGGTGAGCTTAAAAATAAAGTAATAACTTTACATTGGAACGTGAAGCAAAATGGGGGAGACCGGGAACAGTACATATTTAAAGAAAAAGTCTTGCCCTATGAAGATAATACATTTCCGATACGCAAATTTCAAGTAATGGTTTAACAAAGTTTTTTGGTTATAAATTAGGAGCAGCCTAGCACCATGGATATCGTTTCGTGCGATTCTTTTATATTTATTTAACAAAATGAATTTAAATCCTGGTTCTGTGCGTAAGACAATCGTGTTCTCCGCAGATTACATCGCGGACAACAATATTTATTTGAGGAAAAAAAAGGGTGATGTAGCGGTAAAAAATGTTTAGCTTGGAAAAGTTTTGAAATTCTAAATTGGTTGATAGTAAAATTTTTGATGCAGATGATTATGCACAATTTTGATTTAGTCAGATAATAATTTAACACTGAAAACATTTTCCAAGAGGGGGATAGTATCAATTTCAGCCGTTCGCCCTAACTCTGTTGGAGCAATTATTGTGTCAGGAGGACACTCCTTTTAATGAAGCCCGTATAATATGACCATGCACGGCCGACTTAATGTATCAAAAAAAACGATAGGGTTAAAAGTATGTTACTATTGAGAAATGGGAAGTTGGCAACTGAGAAGCTGAAAATAACACGTTTGTCATAGATTCTAATTTTGAAGTCGTCATTCTTTGTCATGATCAAAGAAAACATCAAGTTACGGAGCGAAGAGGATTTATGTACAGTAGTGTATACGGTAATGATCAATTACAGATCAACCTTGTAATTTTCAGTGTTTGTAAAACAAAAACTACAAAAAAGCGATATACATTAAGGTAACAATCAAAACTAAATATGTGTACACCTAACAGAAATAAAGAAGTTTTTACTGAAAATAATTTAATCCAAAATGTCACAACCTTGAAGCTTGAGACATCAAAAAAAGTCTATTCAGATAGTCAAAAGCACTTTGAATATCTATAAAACAACCTAACAGCCTTTTTTTTTTAAACCAACTAAAATTGAGAATGGAAACGGGGAATGTGTCAAAGAGACAACAACCCGACCAAAGAGCAGAAAACAGCCCAAGGCCACCAATGGGTCTTCAACACAGCGAGAAAATCCTGCACCCGGAGGCGGGCTTCAGCTGGCACCTTAAAGAAAAATGTGTACTAGTTCAGCGAAAATGGACGTCACACCAAACTTTGAAACATATATATGAACCAAAATTAATAAAGCATACAAGACTAACAAAGGCCAGAGGCTCCTGACTAGGGACAAAACATTTATTAATGGTTGAGTTGAAGGCAAAACTAACATCAGTTATGTACCACGACCTGGTCTCATCTAGGATATTATTTTAGTTGGCCCATAATGATGGTCTTTAGTGTATAACGAAAGTAAAACATTTACAAAAACAATAATTTAGTGTGATACCTCTTATCATATCGGCAAATACTTACTGGAATAATTTTTCCTTTACACCACCGTCTTTGGTAAATGTGTGTATAATAAGTTACAGATCGTTTTTCGCGTTTTGTTCTGTTTGACCGACCTTTTGCAGAAATACGGTTCTTGGACGGAGAAAATTCTATGAAAATTGTACCTGTCAGGACTTATTTGTATTGTACCCAGATCTGAAGTTAACGTTTAGTACAGTAGTGTATGGTGATGGTGTACAGTTCAAAATGTATTTTGTTCCGGTTAACAGATTTAAAGCGGAATTTTGCTGACTTTTGTTCATTCTTTAGTTTTGTATGTAGAGTTTTGAAACTGTTGTTTTCTTTTTTCGTCTTTTTATTTACGATAGAATTATTGGTTTTTCATCGACTTATGATTTTTGATTGTCCCTTTTGTATAATCTGCCTTTTCCACCTAATTTATGCAAGTTTCATTTTAATGAAAGGATAATATGAAAAAATAATGTTATAACAAAAAAAGATAAAACTTAAAAAAAATAGATTGTATAATTTATGGTTTTTACATATCTTTTCCATTATAAAAATATAGCTAATAATTTGATAAGTGTCACTTACATATCATGGCAACTATGCTAAAAATTTAGAATGTTATCGACATATTTGTTTGAAAACATATGTTAGAATCATCTTTATTTTCGATAGTTCAAAAATTAACGTTCCTCATCGTTAATGAAATACTTATTATCTACTTTAATATTTTTTTATTGCTTTACCTTATATCTATTGAAGACGGAGGAAAACATGGAATATAAAGACAAGTGCGAGTATAATGTTTTCAAATGATAAATAGATTGCTGTTTTTGTATAGACCTTTGCTTGAAGATTTTAAGGCAATACGATTTGGATACGTGAAAATGATATAATAGTTGTTTTTTTTTTGCATTTTTCATATAACACTCTCAAATGTGAAGAAGATTGTTGTTTTTGTATAGATGATTACTTGAAAATTTTAAGGAAATACGATTTGAATGCGTGAAAATGATATAATAGTTGGTTTTTTTTGTTGTTGCATTTTATATATAACACTCAAATGTGAAGTAGCTTATCAGATGAAATAACCTTTTAACTATGCATCTTACCTAAATACAAACGTAGTTAAAAACAAGAGGCTCATGAGAGCCTGATATCGCACACCTGTAATTTCAGTTTCAAGCATTTGACTTATTTGTAGATCTTACTTTGCTGAACAATTTTGTCATTTACACTTTCTTTCTATAATAATAATATTAAGGATGATACATAACCAAAAACTGTAAAGTTTCCTACAAATTAACTATTTCTGGACAGTAACCCAACAATAAGTTGTCCTATTGGTCTAAAGAATTCTTGACAGGTAGATTTAATCCTGTTTAACACTTTCATCTATGTCAGTTTTGCTCTTACTGCTTTAGTTTTTGAGATTTAAGCCAAAAACTTCATTTGACCCCTATGTTCTATTTTTAGAGAAACTGCCGCCAGGTTTTTGAATGGATCAAATCCCCGAATACAATCTATAAACTAGATACCCTAAGGAACATTCAATAAATGTTTTTAAGTATTTGGCCAAGTAGTTTCAGAGAAGAAGATTTTTGAAAAAGTAATTAGACTTTCATAAAATGTAAAATAAAAAAACGTTTAAGTGCAATAACTCCTTAAGGGGTGAGTTGACTATTTTGATCATTTGACTAATTTGTAGATCTTACTTAGCAGAACATTTATTGCCATTTATACTTTCTCTCTATCTTTTATACTTTTAAAGAAAGTAACCTTAACCAGTAAAATTTAAAAAAAAACAAACTATTTCCATCAGTAATCCTACAATGGGTTGTCGAACTCGTCTGAAAATTTCATAACAGATAGATCATGACCCATTCATCACTTAAACTCCTTTCATTTTTGCTCTAACTGCTGTAGTTTTTTGAGATATAAGTCAAAAACTGCTTTTGTCCCCTATGTTCTTTTAGCCATGGCGGCCATGTTTGTTGATGGATCAAAACTTCGGATACAACTTATGAAATAGATATCATAAGGAACATTCAGTTAAAGTTTTGAAGTATATGACCAAGTAGTTTCAGAGAAGAAGATTTTTGAAAAAGTAATAGACGCACGAAAAAATGCAAAAAATAAACGTTTCAAGGGCAATAACTCCTTAAGGAGTCAATTGACTATTTTGATCATTTAACTTATTTGTAGATCCTACTTAGCTGAACATTTTTGCTGTTTACACTTTCTCTCTATCTATTATAATATTAAAGATAATAACCAAAAACAGTAAAATTTCATAAAAATAAACTATTTCGGACAGTAACCCTAAAATGGGTGGTCCAATTGGTCTGAAAATTTCATAGCAGATAGATCTTGACTTATCCATCACTTTAATTCATGTCACTTTTGCTCTAACTGCTATAGTGTTTGAGATAAAAGCCAAAAACTGCATTTGACCCCTATGTTCTATTTTTAGCCATGGCGGCCATGTTTGTTAATGGATCAAAACTTCGGATACAATTTATAAACCAGTTACCCAAAGGAACATTCAGTTAAAGTTTAGAAGTATTAGGCTTAATAGTTTCAGAGGAGAAGATTTTTAAATATTAGCAAACATGATGAACAAATTGTGTAAAATTGTCTTTAAAGGGCAATAACTCCTTAAGGGGTCAATTGACAATTTTGGTCATATAAAATTGTTTCGTAGATCTTACTTTGCTGAACACTTTTGCAGTTTACAGTTTATCTTTATCTTCAATAATATTCAAGATAATAACCAAAAATTGCAAAATTTCCTTAAAATTACCCATTTAATGGCAGCAACCCAACAATGGGTTGTTTGGTTCGTCTGAAAATTGCAGGGCTGATAGATCTCGACCTACAGAACATGTCAGATTTATTCTAAATGCTTTAGTTTTTGAGATATAAGCCACAAACTGCATTTGACCCCTTTGTTCTATTTTTAGCCATGGCGGCCATGTTTGTTGATGGATCAAAACTTCGGATACATTATAAACTAGATACCCTAAGAAACATTCAGTCAAATTAAAGGTATTTGGCCCTGTAGTTTAAGAGGAGAAGATTCTTGAAATAGTTTACGGCGACGACGACGACAGACGACGGACGACGACGGACGCCAAGTGATGGCATAATCAGGTTTTTGTATTAGATTGCTTTACAGTCAAAATGTCTTTTATTCAATATGATTATATATCTAAAGGACTAATGCATTGCTTTTTCAACATCCATTGTGATAAATTGACTGTACCATTTCTGTTGTTATTTATTTTTTCACACAATAAACATGTTCCATCTTGTATATAATTGTTGTACGAAGTAGTTACATACCTGTCTTTTTCTTTTATATAATTTAAATACATAGTTTCATTGAGTGCTATATCCTTGAGATAAAGAGCTAATTTTTTCGGAGACACAAAATCCAAAGTAGTTATAAACGTACTCTTCGGTAAAATATCCTTGATATTAGGACAACCCCTTATTACAGGGACTATATCAAAATTCCCCTTATACAACCGGAATGCCTTTTCTGTTATATAGTCTTCACATATAGAATTTTCAAATGAGAGATAGAATTTATATCTATTACTTAAATCTTTTATGCACTCGTCGCCAGATGAACTGCAAGGTTTTCCACATTTTCCAAATACGTCTACATCGATAAATTTCTTCATCTTTTGAACGTATCTATTCCTTTGTGAATGTGTATAACAATTACTAACCACCCAAGCAACATCCTTTGATTTGTGTTGAAATATTTTAGTGTAATTTTTTTCTTTCGGTACTATTCTTTTAGACAATTTTCCATAGGGTGTAAATATTTCCGAATCTTGTCGATAACTCCATGTCCAGTTGAAAGCATTATTCCACTGTTGTTCTTTGTAGGGTCCATACGTATGTACTGGAGACTCTAACGTCATGAATACCCAAATTTGATTCTCCGTTCTTATTGGTGGATTTTTAGTAAGATCAGAGTGATGAAATAACAAAACATCGCTTTTATTTATTAAACTCTTATCGAGTGATATATCACAATTTTTGAATACGCAATTTTTGAATCCGTTCTGAGGTTTCAAATTTGAAGCCCAAAATGGTGGACTGTACCACAGTAATAAATAACTGCTTTTATTTTCTATCCTTGGAATCATTTGTTGAAAATTGTCTCTTCCGAGTAATGAAATATCAGCTATGGTATATACGATCCAACATATGGAAAAGATACAAATAGGATACCTGATTTGAAACGGACCCGTCCAAAAGCGATCTGAAAAAAAGAGTAACAATATGTAAACATAACACGGAATAACATGAATATGAAAACATGCTATTGAAAAAAATCAAAGTCTCTTTAAAAGATATAACATTTCCGAAAATTGTGCATAACTATATGCTTAATGTTCATGCGTTTTCCGAGGAAAAATTGTGATCCTTGCATAATTCCCAGGATAAGTAATAAAGAGATTGTCCATTCCAAATACGATTACATGTACAATCGTGGCTATTCTTTGCAACTCACAATCTAGTCAACGGATGTTGATAAATATTAAAGTCATCAGATATACAGCTTCCATAATCTATGTATAATTCTGCTTTTCCAAAAAAGTAAAGAAGGAGAAAATGATGTTATTCGAACAAACCATAAGACAGTCTCTGGATAAAAAAATTCTTAACGTTTTAGAGTCTTAGTGTTATCAACGAACATCATATTGTCTGAGCCGACGTTTTCTGGGTAAACATTAAATAACTATGGTTGTTTATGTCTTGGACCAAGAAAACTCTCAGGCCTTTACGACTACCATGTTATATTTGTTTAAACAAAATATCAATCTTTTATCTATGAAAAACAAGTTGTACATGGCTTTGAACTAGCTTTCATAAGCCCTAATAAAGTACGATGTTGAAGAGCATTGCAGACCCAAAATTCCGAAAGGTTTTGTCGAATACAGTTAAGGTAATCTATTTGAATTTTCTTTTTTGTTCATATATCATTAACAATTCTAAGTATTTATACATCTTTGGCTTTCGAGTTAAATTCGGGAAAAGTGCTAAGGACGCAAAGGAGTAAGTTCACGAAATGTTAAAATTGGCCCATATGTTTTGATGTTTTTTTTTAATCAGGTCAAAATACTACAAATTTGACATATATATATAGTTGTCATGTTACTCCTACTAGAATGAGTATTTATTTGAAAGTGTCTCAAAAGTTAGTTGTTGCTGGATAGCGATATGTTAACTTAGACTAAAATCTATTTTGTATCTTTATTCTGATGTTATTGTGTATGATATTGTTTTATATTGGTATGTGACACTATAATAAAATATTTGTCTGTCTGTCTGTCTAAATACAACTTAACTTCTTTTTTTCATATGACATTAAAAATGGCGAAATGATAATCGCTTAAGTATGCATTTTTTGTGTGATAACGTCAGTTGCGATCAAATTTATCCACGATTTTTATTTTAGCATAATATACTTTGGTCGCCACCCAGGATCCTAGAGGTTTGTGTGTCTATTGATTTAATATCGTCAATGGCAACTTTTGGTAACAGAACATTTTGGATCCTAGGTTGCAGGCAAGGGTTTCATCAAGCTATTAGGTCGGATAATGCACAAACTCGTCGTATTTTGATACTATATCTAATCTAATCTAGATTTGTGTTACCTTTTAGTAAGTCTTTGAGACAGATCCATTTAAGAACCGAATTATGGCCATTTTGAAATTTTATGATAAATATGAAAATAAGGAAATGTGGTATGATTGTCAAAGAGACAACTATCCACCAAAGTTCAAATGAAGTGGATGTAAGCAGTTATAGGCAACCGTACGATCTTCAACAATGAGAAAAACACATACCGTATTGTCGGCTATAAAAGCCCCCGACATGAAAAATATGAAACAATTCAATTGAGATAACTAACGGCCTAATTTATAACAAAACAATTTACGAAAAACAAATATGACTGACATGAACCAACGACAACCACTGAAATACAGGCTCCTGAAATTCAATGCAATATTTGGCCTTAAGTGAACCTTTTCTTTTATATACATTTGAAGTGTTTTTTCATTGCTGAATTTGAAACAAAGGAAACAGCTAATATATCTTGTTCTGCTTTATTACGTTGACGTCTACCTGGTAATCGACAGTGAATGACGGATAACAAAAATTCCAGTAGCAACTATTTATGACGAACGCTTATTTCAACCCTTTATGGTCACATTTAAGGACTTCTATGATACACGGTTGCTGCTAAGAATAAAACTTCGTATGTAATGTTTATAATTGACCTCGAACGGTTTTACAGACGGCGTCACAACTAAAATGTATGTTACGAAATAACTGCATCGCTGGCTACATGAATATGTTGTTGCCGTAATCTCATCTTAATTTCTTACTTAACGACATTCGTGATGGTGTCATAAAAACTTATGTAGTGTTTCACGTGTTTCCCCTCAGAACTCTGTTGGAGTAGTTTATGTGTAGGGAACATACTCCTGTTAATGAAGTCAGTTTAGTTTGAACATGCACAAGCGTTACGTATTAAATGTGATATATAAACTGTAATCAATGGAGCAAAGAGTATGTTACTGCTGAGAAATGGGAAGTTGACAATTAGAAATCATTACGTTTGTCATAGATTCTATTTTGAAGTCGTCCATCTAAATCAATATCGAGGTTTATACAATTATGTAACGGTACAACAGGAGGGAACATACATAATTGACAAAACACCGCAGTAAACAAGATATAAAAAATATAAGACCAGTATTCAATTTAAAAACAAACTAGATAAACTTTTGGGAAATCACCAACTTATGTATGAATACAAAGAAGAATGTGGATCGGAAAGAAGAGGAAGAAGAAAATAAAGAGCTGCCTATAAAGGACAAAATGGTGCTGCGGGCAGAGTCAACATAAAATAAGGTATGTGTAAACAGTTGGCCACCTTTAAAACGCCTTCCAATAGACAAGATTGCAACTCTGATTGCTTTTGAGCATTATTAAAACAATATATCAGAAGAATATTCATAATGAAAAGCAAAATTCTGTTGAAAGTAACTCTAAAATTGACAATGGAAATGGGGAATGTGTCAAAGAGACAACGACCCGAACATAGAGCAGACAACAGCCGAAGGCCACCAATGGGTCTTCAATGCAGCGAGAAACTCCCGCACCCGGAGGCGTCCTTTAGCTGGCCCCTAAACAAATATGTATACTAGTTCAGTGATAATGGACGTCATACTAAACTCCAAATTATACACAGGAAACTAAAATTAAAAATGATACCAGACTAACAAAGGCCAGAGGCTCCTGACTTGGAACAGGCGCAAAAAATGCAGCGGGGATAAACATGTTTTTTGAGATTTCAACCCTCCCCCTATACCTCTAGCCAATGTAGTAAAAACAAACGCACAACAGTACGCACAGTAAAACTTAGTATATGAGAAGTCCGAGTCCGATGTCAGAATAGGAAACAAAAGAAAATAAACAAAATGACAATAATACATAAATAACAACAGACTACTAGCAGTTACTGACATGCCAGCTCCAGACCTCAATTAAACTGATTGAAAGATTATGTCTTCATCATATGAATATCAGGCACAATCCCTCCTGTTAGGGGTTTAGTATTATACCGTCATAAAATATATGAGAAGAACATAACCCGTGTCATGCCAACAACTGGTTTTAGAATAAATGTGTTTAATTCCGATGCAAAGACCCTATAAGTGAATCAATATTAAAGCCAAAATATGCAATCTTTAATGACCTGACAACAGTATCGTTACTATATCCCTTCTTAATAAGTCTGTTTAAAGGTTTTGTTAGCTTTTTTCTACATATATTCTGTTGACAGTTAAGCTAAAAAAATTAAGTTGGATACAAGTCAATTAACATGTAGAATATTAAAACATGACCAATTGTCCATTCCTGTTACAGAATGCGTTTCTTTGACGATGTATGTACACTGCTTTATATAATGACCAACACAGGAATGTGTATATTTCTGTCGACGTTTTTAACAGAAATTCAGAGAAAATCCGTACTTTTTAAAAGCATCTTATATATTGCTCACGTTTCACCCAAAAAGCAAACGACGATGGATTTTTCATCTTTGCGTTTCACAAAATACATGTTAAAAATTGTCTATTGTAATGAAATTACACCATGAAACCAGCTATATATGTGTGTCTGGAAGGAAGTGACGCTTTTTGTTAGATCAAAAAGTCAACTTGTGTCAGATTATAATCCGTACTAGTAAAGTGCAACACTCTCTTTCAAGAAATGTATGGCACACTTAAGAAATTTGATATATACTGGCAACTTTATTTAAATTGTATCAATCTAGAATGAATATACAGTTAATAAATAGTATGACAAGTACCTTATAAACTGTTTATTTTTACATATGACACAATCAACTGTATCATCTCTAATTAAAAATGTTGTTAATGTTAACATTGGGCCAGATTAGTTATTGCTACACACTATGTATACCCTCGTCAGATAAAGAATCTATTATTATCAGTATGGTCAGTTTAATAAACGATTCTTTATCAGGAAAAATTAATTGGAATTTGAAAAAAAGCTATTTTTAAATTCTACCTATACAGACATGACAGACCTCGTGATCTAAAATATAAAGGAAAAACAAATTAAATCACGTGACCCATGGACACTTCCGTACTAAAATAATGATTTATATGACAGTATCATTTTGTTTGTGAATCGAATACGTTACATACTGATATACTTTACTGTTGTGTCTGATCGTATTCTTCCTCACAAACTAATTTATAATAAATGACAAAATCATAGATCTCCATCTAATCGCACCATTTTTAATACCTTTAAATTGAATGTTTGATAAATATTTCAAGTGGCAGAAATAATATCTAGGCAATAGTCAGTAAAGCTTAAAAACCATTTATTCACATTTACCTTTAGAATGTTGACATATTAAAATCTACTAAGTTCATATGAAACACGAATACATTAAATTCATGTTTTGTACATTTGTCACAATAATCTATATTTACAACATACATTTTAATAAGACCTAGATAATCAAACCTCGTTTTCATATAAATAGATACATCTATATTTTGTCTGTTGCACTTAAAATTATTATGGAAAAGAAATTCTGTTTATCACTGTTATTACATTTGTTACAAAAAATAACCTGGCGTATCTTGATAAATCCTTAGATGATGTTGGGGATTTTACACTAACACTGAAGCTCGCTAAGTTGACCTTAGGAGGGATTGGTCAATTGTATGGTTCACTTAAATTTAAAAGGTGTCAAATATTGTGGGGGCTTAAATTAAAATTTTTAATTTTTCTGGTACTGCAATAATATTAGCGGTGTAAGATTTAAATATCCCTCTTTAATCATCATCAATAATTTGATTGCTTTCAACAAAAAATATACGAGTAAACTACTCGTAAATCATTCCAGTATAGCTTCAATTGCAATTGAAAGATTGTTGGGTGAAAAGAACTGTTAATGTATTACTATAAGTTAAGTTGACGGCTCAATTAAAAAAATGGTATTCGTGTATTACAATGTATTGACTATTTGTACGTTTGTCACGTTTGTTTATCGTAAAATGCATTAGTGAAAAACCCCTTTTATTATTTTGTTCCAATATTGAAAATAGTGAAACCGATCCCGTAGTTTTTAGTCTTCTGTTCATGCCCGTTTAATCAGTTTTGATCAGTTTGTTTAAGTCACGTGACCTGTTATCGTTGGGATAATTCTTTTAAATTTACACTCAGATATATGCTCCATATTATTAGTTTCACAGTGTGCTAGTGACCTAATACGACATAAATACCATATGGGGTGAGAGCAGATATCGAAATAAAAATGTCATATAGACTTGTATGCACATATTGTTAAAACTACGAAATCAAATATCCAAGAAACTCCACGCCCCACTCCCCCTCCCCCCTCAAATCACGGAAATTGCCATCCACGAAAATAAATGAATCCACAGTAAGTATTTGGTGAAATAATTCATTGGTTATTGAATTACACGAAACATATTGATAATTAAAAGTGACTGCGTCTTTATACTGTGTTAACGAAATTTAAGGAAATAATGAATTAATGACTTTACAGATCTTTTTGAAATCAAACAAGAAGTAATACATTTTGGACAATATAAATTTTTGAATATATTGAAAATTGGTGTGTAAGCCACAAAAATGCTTATGATTGAAAATTGTTCAATTTTTTGAAATTTAATCAAAATTTGGCCGTTTTTTTAAATATTCCACGAAATGAAAGAATTTACAAAAAGGCTCCTTTGGTTGTGTTGAAGATGTGTTTTAGCTTAATGTGAAAAATTTAACTCTGATAGAGATGCTCTCTCTTTGACTTTGTTTGCCAAACAATTCCACATTATTTTCTATACTGGAAAATCAGCAAAAATTCGTTTATTTATATTAAGCTGTGAAGATAATCAGGTCCTTAATGCTGTGGCAAAATTTATTAAAGTCAATAAGAGTTAGATCTATTTATTTTTCATGTAACTATATTATATACTATAAACTAAGGGCTAATTACAGTCTAATTGTATTGTGTTTGTGTATTTAAATTCTATGTATCTATGCTAATCAATATTCTTTTTCCTTATACATTTATGCTCTATATGCCCCTTATGGGCCCTTAATTGGTAATAAAATATGTTCTTGTTCAAACAAAAAGACGTCACACATCTAAAAAAATATGCACTGAATATTCATAGTAACATTCTACAACTTGAAAAGGAAATGGTACAGATATAGAAATAAGTAAATGTAGCAGGATTGCTAATTAGACAAATTGCAACAATTGATTGTTAAATAAGATGAGCATCTCTACGTTAAACCAGATACGAAAGAAACATCAACACGTGAACCTTCTGTTATTATACGAAAGATATATCAAAATGAGAAAGAAAAATAGAATGTTCGAACAACGTTAATAATAATGACCAGTTAAACGATTAAAGTACATTTTCATGAACCCTAACGAAAAGAAAAACCTGAGATTTCGCTTATGTTTTGTATATTAAAAAAAATTATTATCGTCTTCATTTTTTGTATTTTATACTTACTCTGTACACTTGCTTAGTATTTAATCGATGATTAGAATATAATATTGACAGTTATAGTTCAAAGCAAGAAATACACATACCCTCTTTTCCGAGTTGTTTCCTGTTCAAATCCATTATTTCCAAGTAATCATCACCAATAACTATGAATTGGTTACAGTTACTGAATAACATTTAACACACTAAAGACAGGTAAACTACACATAAAAATTTACAAGGATTACAGTGGTATTGTTAATAATTATACTACAAAACGAAATTTAGCCAAGGGCAATCAAAACAATCATCATGAAAAATGTGAGGGAAGTTATGGGCTATTTATTGTGTAATAATTTTATGCATGTTTTATAACATCAATAAAAGAACAGGCTTCTAATGTCCCCGAGTTGGATATATCTGTCAAAGGGAAAAAAGTAAAACAGTATTTTCTTGCTTTGGATTTTGAATATTTTGGCCTCGAACATCATTGAAGAGACATTCATTGTCGAAATGCCCATTTGGTGCAGTATATTTGGTACGTTTATGTTATTTTAACTTTTTAATAAATATCTTACAAAAAATGTAGGCATAAGATCACTTACAATGACATTCTACGTATTCTTCTTCCGTTAACATCCATATATCAAACCACAGATTAATACTCATAATTAATAGATAACAAAAAAAAGTAACCTTATGAGCCTTTGATATAAACATCAATTAAATTCGATAAGAATGAATTATAGGTGCGAGAGGGCTTACCATGCAATGTTCAAAATAAATTACATTTATTTCAAAGAAACATCACTCCTGTAAAGTAAGTAGATCAGCTTTTTTTTTGCGAACTCCCCAAAGACATTGCTGATATAAACCTATGATATAAATTTAAATAAATATCTGGTAATAATTGTACAGTTGAGAGCACTTACAATGAAATTTTCTATAGAACTTAAAACGAAGAATGCACAAGTTGAAAAACTATGTAAATGTTCGATCAAAATCTGTATTTAGAGGCAAAGAGGCTGTAAACTGTCTGGAGATTCTTCACGACAAATATGTTATTGTTCCTGCGGACAAAGCTTCAAATAATATTGTTTTTGTCTAGAAATCCTATTACTATGAGTGTATTGTCAAAGAATTAGGAATGAAGTAACATGAATTTCCAAGTACAAAATAACCTTTGATAAGGATAAGGTCTTGGCAAACCACAAGTCCTTTATGGCCTCATTGAATATTTCAATGAGCAACAAATCTGAGGACTTACCTTGTTTTTATTGGATACATAAACTTCAAAAAGCTCCGTACACACATTGCCGGCTCATCTGCATGTTCTTCCAAAGAACTGTCCGTTCGATTCACAAAAATTTCGTCCGTAGTGAAAGAGGGATTACAGAAATACTGTGACACTATTGACTCGCGTAGTGACAATAATCATATGTGCATTTTGAAGAACACATAAAAACTTCTGAAAATTTCAAATCTCAATCATGCTATGAAAATAAATTCTATCAAAACCTTCCACCTTTTACTTCACCATACCACACGAAAAAGTATAATCCAGTCTTTTTTGGGGCCCTTTATAGCTTACTGTTCGGTGTGAGCCAAGGCCCCGTGTTGAAGACCGTACTATAATGGTTTACTTTTATAAATTTTGACTTGGATGGAGAGTTGTCTCATTGGCACTCATACCACATCTTCTTATATATAATTAAAGAAATAATCCACAATGCATTCCTTCAAAAAGATTTGAACCATATGCTATAAATTTATTGATTAGGGATATAATTTTGCAAATTTTAGAAAAAGGTTCAAAAAGAAAACATGATATACCTAAGAACAAGGGATCAGTATGCTGGAGTTTCTGATTGAACTTTGTAAAAAGTCATCGGTTTCCAAACAAAAAATTAATTAGCAAGGGTTTTGTCATAGAACGTCTCATTCTTTTTCTTAAAAATTTATCGGTAAGTATCAAGACCTAATAGACAAATATTCAGTGTCTACTTCACAAATCATACAAGATGACCTGAGTTATAGATTTTAAGTAATGAAGTTGTGTATCTTTTGATTTATTTTACGGTTTTCTGTTTATTTTTCTCCGTGCTATTTTGTTTCTGTTGGTCGAATGACTTTGGACGTAAGTCTGTATTTATGCATCCCGCTATCGGGTTTCTAACTTTGGGCATTCCTTGTGCAGGTGGGTCCTGAGGTGCGATTCGGATGCAGGAGGTAGTTACAAATGTTTTCTTTTTGTTTATTTTGTATTTATATTTTACTTAATTTGTACTTTTTAGAGAAATTGTATACTATATATGCAATGTACTATTAACTACAAAACTTTTTTTATCGGCGTCTTTGTCAATTTACCATCTTCGGCAAAGAGTGTTTTGATGGCGTCTTTGTCAAATTTACTATCGACTACAGCAACGTTGTTGTTTGCGTTTTTGTTTGATTTATCTATTTGCTGTTTGATTTTTTAGTTAGTTGTGTTTTATGTCTATTTGCACAGTTTTGGCTGCTGGATCCCAATTATTGTCACAAAAACCAATTATTATGAAAATAAGAAGATGTCTGTTTCGGTTGCGCATCTAATTTTGTCAATACAACTGAACTATAAGCAACTGTCACACAAGTGGGAGATTTAGATAGCTTTAAAACCAGGTTAAACCAACCATTGTCTTCTGAAAATGCATGTACGAAGTCAGGAATTTAACAGTTGTTTTTTTAACTCGTTTTGTTGGTTCCTAACATTTGATTTTGTCAGTTTATATTGACTTCCTTTTTTTTAATTGACCTTGGAGTTCGTTATTTTTGGTATTCGCTTTTCCTAAGGGATATAAATCTAAGGGACAATAATTGATAAGCGCTGATTTTAGAACTTAACCTGGGACAGTGGTGTAACAGCACAACATAAGAACAAACTATAAAAATCAGTTCAAAAAGACTTATCTCATCAGATCGACACAAAGAAAAACATCAAACAAAACACAAAGTTTGTATTGGATACCTAAACTTCACAAAATTCCGTACAAACAACGATACATTGCCGGCTCATCTGCATGTTATACAAAGGAATTGTCCACTAGATTGACAAAAATTCTGTCCGCAGTGAAAAAGGGTCTTCAGAAATACTGTGAAACTGTCTACTCGCGTAGTGGTGTTAACCATATGGGGAATCTAAAAAACTCTAAAGAACTTCTGGATAATTTTAAATCTCGATCTTTCTCGGAAACTAATTCTATCAAAACTTTTGATCTTTCAACTCTGTGTACCACCATTCCCCATGTGAAATTGAAAATCGTCTAAAAGAAAAAATCCACAATGCGTTTCAATTTAAAAACGGTAGCATACGCTATAAATTTATTGCTTTGGGATACCATACGTCATATTTTGTTAATAGTGAACAAAAAGGTAAAACATGCTACACAGAGGAACAATTGATCTGTGTGCTGGAGTTTCTGATTGACAACATTTTTGATAAATTTGGAGGTAGATTTTTTTCAACATATTGTTGGCATTCCTATTGGAACAAACTGTGTGCCTCTCCTTGCCGACCTCATCTTATTTTCATATGAGTCGGAATTCCTTCAGACACTTTTCAAAAATAAGTGACTTATAATTCGATTTTGACATAAGTGGTCATCTCAGTACTGACAAACGATTCATTCATTCATTCATTCATTCATTCATTCATTCATTCATTCATTCATTCATTCATTCATTCATTCATTCATTTTCCAAATCATTTGGTATTAAGGAGCCTGCAGCAGCTACTCATACTTTATAAAACGTCATTATTATTTGAGTAGAAATTTGATGAACCAGGGTTATGTCAAAGAACGTCTCGTCCTTTTCCAGAAAAAGTTTATTGAAAGATACGAAGACCTTCAGTATCAACTTCACAAATATTACATGATGGTCTTGAAGTATAGATTCTAGGTACTGACGTTGTTTATCATCTTAATTATATATTATAGTGTTTTTTTTATTTGTATTGTATATTCTAACCTTTAATGTTAAGACCGTTTTTGGTACATACTTTTGGCGTGACTAAGTATTTAGACATTCCGCCATTGTGTTATTGTGCTATAGTCATCTTTGTATTCTTGTCTTTCATTTTTGCTAATGTACTTTGTCTATAGAGTGTCTATATGCCATTTTCTTTTTCTTTGTTGAAATAGTTATTTGATTTTATAGGGATTAAGATTATAACACAATGTTGACTGCTGTACCCCAATTTTTGACATTTTTACCAATTATGTCTGTTTGTTTTCCTCCTACATTGTTGTCAATATAATAGAATTCTATATGACTATCATACAAGTGAGAGGTTCAGCTAGCTATAAAACCAGGTTTAATTCATCATTTTCTACATAAGAAAATGCCTGTACCAGTCAGGAATGTGACAGTTGTTTTCCTTTCGTTTGATGTGTTTGAGCTTTTGGTTTTGCCATTTGATAAAGGACTTTCCGTTTTGAATTTTCCTTGGAGTTCGGTATTTTTGTTATTTTACTTTTACCTGAACAAAAAAAAAAATAGCCCTCCATTCTTGAACAATAGAAAATACCTCAACATTCCTGAACAATGGAAAATTAGTCAACATTCCTGAACAATAGAAAATAACTCACCATTCAAGAACAATAGAAAATAACTCAACATTCCTGAACAATAGAAAATAACTCAACATTCCTGAACAATGGAAAATTAGTCAACATTCCTGAACAATAGAAAATAACTCACCATTCAAGAACAATAGAAAATAACTCAACATTCCTGAACAATACAAAATGATTCTCCATTCATGAACAATAGACAATAACTCAACATTCCTGAACAATGGAAACTATCTCTCCATTCCTTAACAATAGAAAAAATAACTCTTCATTTCTGAACAATAGAAAATAACAAATCATTCCTGAACAATAGAAAATATCTCTCCATTCATGAACAATAGAAAATGAATCTCCATTCCTTAACAATAGAAAAAATTACTCTACATTTCTGAACAATAGAAAATGATTCTCCATTCCTGAACAATAGACAACAACTCAACATTCCTGAACAATGGAAACTATCTCTCCATTCCTTAACAATAGAAAATAACAAATCATTCCTGAACAATAGAAAATATCTCTCCATTCCTGAACAATAGAAAATGAATCTCCATTCCTAAACAATAGAAAATTAATCTCCATTCCTGAACAATAG